ATTATTTGAAGTAAATAAACTTACAAGTCACTCGACGGTAAAACACGTCGTTTTTGAATTGGTTGTAAAGGACGCATAAAAATACAACAAATAACACAACAAAGAAGAATAGCAGATAGAATAAGTACACCTGTTTTCCAACCAAATATGTCGAATAATATACGCGACATTGGTCCAAATATAATTGAACCAATTCCTGTACCAGCTGTAACAATACCTACAGAATTCAATTTTATTAGCAATTTAATAAAGAAAAATATTTTATTATACCTGTAGCAATGGCACGTTTTTCTTCAAAATAATATCCAACCATAATAATACTCGGTAAATAAACAAGTCCCATACCAATACCACCGATACAACCAAATAATAACCACATTATATATATATTTGGTGCTCGAGTTGATGCTGCAACAGCTAATGCTGCAATAACACTTCCAATAATACCAATTTTACGACAACCATATTTATTAGAAAGTGCAGAAGCTATTGGTGCTATATTTAAAACAAATAATTTGAAATGATAAAAATAGGACTCTTTAAAAACATTACCGCTAAGTAAATAAAAACCACAAGCTAAAGAACTAACGAGCGTAACCTCCCATTCGTGACAGTCGAAATGTTTTCGAAGAGTTTCTGATATTGCACCAAATGCATAAAGAAAACCATCAACAATTAAATTAATCATCTGAATGAAATCAGAAGAAATATTTATAAATATAAATAATAAGAACTTACAAAACATGCTATAAGAACAACCCAACCATAACCTCCATCAGGTGGTATTGTTATATAATCATACTCTTCGTTATCTTGTGGTTTACATAAATTTCTCTTTGCATCTTTTTCATCTCGTAATTTTGATTCAACCTTGTTCGTCATATTTGTATAAAAAAATTAACGAGAACTACTTGCTTTTTTTCAACATATTTTTTCTGTTTAAAAGATTACGAATGTTTTTCCTTTATATATATATAATCGATATCGTAGAAAGGCATATAAAATTTTTATATAGTGATAAGACTTGTTCTGTTCTTTTTATCTTGTCCTTCTTTTATCAAATATCAAAGTACTACATATATTTAAATAATGATTCATCCTTAAATACATGTTTAAAATCAGGTCTTCAAACACCAGGAACCAACAAATAGTTACGTTCCAAGGATGAAAGTATAACTGAATCTCAAGTACGAATAATATATCAAGAAAACCTAACGTCAAACGATAAGGTCTTACACAATCAAAAACCATCAATTCAACAACATGACTTTCCACCAATTACCCTTCAATTCGAATCTTTGAACAATATTAATAATAGAAAATTAATTGAAGAGGTAATTAAAGAATGGAAGATTAAAAATAAGAAGAAACTTGATATCATTGGCAGATATGGATTTAAGAATGTATTACTCATGTTTGCGCAAAACATCACAACTCTTGATGAATTACTTGATAAAGACAAATGGCCAATCAAAGCCTATGCCAGGGAAATCTTAGTCCCCCCGATGACACACATTTGCTTCGACAGATCTTGTATTGCTCTATCAAATATGCTACTCCACTATGGATCCAAAAACTTTCAAAAAATATCGATTCTGATAGCCCTGATGGTGAGGAATTCAAATCTATTATCAGAATTTATATAGCATAAGGTACTTGATATTTGGACTACAGCTCTTCAGTAAGACGTGGTATAAGTTTTGTCTAAAAGTAAGAAGTCTTAGAAATGATTCGGTGGAAGTCAGTATAAACGTGTCACAAGTGCCATGGAACCACGCAATACTTCTTTCAAAATCTATTTTATCTGTCACTTTTGAGTAACTCATGTAATTGATATCGATTTATTACAATTCGGTTAATAAAATAAATTGAATAAATAGCAAGTATAAAACTTGTTACAATATATGAAAGAATCGATTTAAATATTAATATAATATAACCCATCATGACTGATGAAATAATTTGTAATGCAAAATAAGTACTATCAAGTATACCTAATAGTGTACCTATTTCATATGTTTGTATTGTTTGATTATCAACAAAGAAGATTTTGAAAAATAATAAAACTACTTCTCTATGTGTATGATACTTTATTACTAATGTATAAGGTATCGATGTTAATGAAGCCATTCCAAGATCAGACAATGATGCCATAATATTAATAATAATTATATTTCTTGATATGTACATAATAAGCATAGATAAAGCAAAAACAAACATACTAAATGAAAATATTAAATGTATACGAAATCGATGAATTAATGTTTTAAGAAATAGTGCATATAGTACACCAACAATACAATGAAAAAGTAAACCATATGATCCAGCTCATACACCTTGATCATATCGAAGACGCTCTTCCGATAATTCATCCGCACTTGGATCACCGATATAAACAGTTTGATCAACAAAATCAGTAAAAAGTAAATTAAATATCATTATAACTGACCTACATATTTAATTTAAGATTAATTCAACTGTTTTTTTTTTATAAACAAACCATGAACAACATTCAGCTAATGTTAAACGACGTAAAACAAATGGCATTGTAATAAGAATTTTTAAGAATTTTATAGGAAATAAAAAATGACATATATGAATATTATTAAATAAAGATTGTTCATCGAGATTATCATTGATTACTGGAACTTTTTCATTTGCTGATATTAATGTACAACAAAGTGTTATGGAAAAGAATAATAAAATTACGTAAAATGTTAATTTTTCTTGTCCTTGCATATAATTACTTAAGTACGATTCAGTCCAATCAGTTGCTGTAATTAAATAACCTAAACATCCTCCTATAAAACGAAAAAAAAAGCTTTGAAAAAAAAGTATTCTTTCTATTTACCAAATGATGTCATAAATGAATAAACAAAAAAACAGGAAGATTCTTGTGATGTACCTTTATAAATATCATAAATTAATGATTCACATGGATTAAAACAAGCCTGAGCAGCAAAATAAAATAAAATACAACTAATTACTAATAAACTAAGGCCAATTGTAGGTGCTTCAATAAGATTACCTATTAAAAAGAAAAAGAATAAACCCTAATAGAGGACCACAACCCATTATCCATGTCATTGATAATTCAGATATTCCAGCTTTAAATAATATAGGTGGAATATAAGTAAATGCTGATGCTGTACAAAATTCTAATCCACATACTAATGATGTTACGATCGCGAGATGAAAAAATTTCATGTGTACATGATTAAGTTACTGAAGAAAAAAATGAGATGAATACTTTATAATTTATTAAGATTCGTAATATTGATCATCCGAAAATAAAAGAGGATTTTTTTCTTATAAACAATAGTTTACTTCGTATTTTTTCATTTGTATGACTATATTTGAATATAAGACACATTAAAAAAAAGATTTTATATGGGTAAATCATGTAGTTTATATAAATATCACATATTATTTCGTAGTCAATCACTTGACTGAAAAGAACAGTGATAGAAAAAAAAGAATAAGAAGAAAAAAAAATTGAATCAAGTAAGTAATTTAATACAGCGCAGTTACATAAAAATTGTCATGATTTTTAATTCGTTTGACAGATGCGAATTTTTAGATTACACAAAGCATACAACATTTATTGATATTTATTTAGTTAATTTAACAGGGTGCATATGGAGCATTTGCTGCTTGCACTGTCCATGGTAATTGAGGTGTTTTATCAGCAGGAAATTCATGTTGGGGTCCAGAAAATATTGGTGGTGGTGCTTGAAGAACAGGATATAGATGATGACGTTCAGAAAATGGGGCTGCTTGAGCAACAGGAAATTCATGATGGGCTCCAGAACATGGAGGAGCACTAGCAGCAATTGTTGAACTATCTTGAACGCGTGTACGTATATTCATTCGACAAGCGATGTAAACAACAATATACATCAGACACATGAGAAAAACGATACCTAAATCGAATAACAATAAAAATATTTAATATTATGAAAAATCTCATCACTATTCTTACCAACGCAAACAACTTGAATTTCAAGAAATAATTTTTTTGCAGTATGAGTTGTGTAATATTTAAATCCTGGAACCTTTTGTAATAAATCAATTAATGATACTACTTTTGGTTGTGTTGAACATGTTGGTGTTAATAGACATATATCTGGATGTAAGATGAATATTATATCAAATCCAATTAGATTACCCAATGCGACTAATGCAACCAAATTCCAAATCAATGCACATCTTGCTGCG